GAAGTATATTTGCAAACTTTAATTGTTCGCATATATGGAAGAGGGAATAACCAATTTGTTCGAGCGATAATTGACACCGGAAGTCAAAACTCATACATAAGCAGGTATGCAGCAGAAAGGTTACAATTAAGAAGCTTAGGTGAACAAAGTGTAACCAACGGACTTTTCGGTGGCATAGAAGTTTCGGAAAAACATAAACGTTATAGAATAAAATTGGGTAGCGTAGATAAACGGTATAATTGCGAAATCAATGTATTGGATGAAAGAAAAATATGTTCTTCGGTCCCTAAAATCAAAAATATACACTGGATTAGGGAACTTAGAAGAAGAGGAATTTACGTCAGTGATGTTTTTGAAAATGGAAATTGCAGATTATTTCAGGAGAACCCCCAAGAGATTCATTTGTTGTTAGGGGCAGATGTTGCTGCAAATTTATTTACAGGTAAAATCGAAGTTCTTCCTTGGGGAAGATTAGTTGCTCTAAGTACAAGACTTGGGTGGACAGTCATGGGGAAAGCGAACACTGACAATTATGAAATAGAAAATTCCTTTTCCACGCTTTCGTTATCTTTACATATTTCTGATGCCACGCTGTCAGAACTGTGGAGGCTTGATGTTATCGGAATAACAGATCCAGTTACAAAAAAGGCTAGAGAGGAAAGAGATTTGCAAGCAAAATTGCAATTCGAAAATTCTGTATCTCTAAACGAAGATGGGCGTTATGAAGTCGCACTTCCGTGGGCGGAGAATCATGTACCACTCTCCACCCACAAGGATTTAGCGTTAAAACGTCTACAATCTACCACCCAGAAACTTTTATCTCAAAATTTATTTTCTTCATACAATGCAGTTTTTAATGACTGGTGTAACTTAGGAGTGATCGAAGAAGTTAAAGAAAATATTGCGGTTGACTATGGACATTATTTACCGCATAGACCGGTGATCAAAGAAAATAGCTCAACACCAATTCGACCGGTGTTTGATGCGTCTGCGAGGAAACAATCGTCTCCTTCTCTAAATCAGTGTTTGGAGTGTGGACCAAATTTGATAGAACTAATTCCATCTCTTTTGTTGAGATTTCGGGAAGGCAAGTTTGCTGCTATAGCAGACATTGAGAAGGCTTTCTTACAGATCAGTGTAAAGCCTCAAGATAGAGACTGGATTCGGTTTTTCTGGTGGAATGATGTGGAAGAAAGGAAAGCGAAAATATTTCGTCATACTAGAGTAGTATTTGGGGTTAAGAGTAGTCCTTTCCTTTTGGACAGCTGTTATAGAATTCCATCTACAAAAGTACATGAAAAAATTCTTCATATGATACGGAGATGATAGCTAAACTCTTGCCGTAGCTTCTACGTAGAGAAACGTGGTTGCCAGTTTTGACAAAAATCCGAGATGATCCAGTTCATCGAAAAATCTCGAGAAATAATGTATGAAGGAAAGTTTAATCTTCGAGGTTGGTTACATAGCGGAGATAACTTGAAACATGAAACTATTTCACCCGTATTGGGTCTGTTATGGAACTCTCAGAAAGATAATTTAACTTTGAATCTGAATTGGCTAGAAGATTTTGAAGTGGGTATAATAACGAAGAGAATAATTCTTGCTGTAACACACAAAATATTTGATCCTATTGGTATTGTGAGTCCTGTTCTCTTGTATCCTAAAGTATTGTTGCAGAACCTATGGAAAACAGGAATTTCTTGGGATACTGAAGTCGACGAGAGTACAAAACAAAATTTTGTGAATTGGTATAAAAGCCTTTTTCTCTTAAAAAAAATATCCCTCCTACGTTGGATACATTCCAGCAAGGACAATAGGAAGTTCTGCAGCATTCACACATTCTGTGATGCCAGTAGTAATGCGTATGCTGCTGCAGTTTTCTTGAGAACTGTGACGAATTCTGGAGTTGAAGTTCATCTGTTGACATCGAAGTCTAGGGTAGCTCCCGTGAAATCTATTACGATCCCTCGTCTGGAATTGATAGCTGCCACGATAGGTGCCAGACTATGCTCTTCTGTTTTAAATGGTTTACAATGGCAAAATGTGGAAACGCATTTTTGGACGGATTCTACAACAGTTTTGACATGGATTCAAAGGGAAGAGATTGTCTGGGCTGTCTTTGTGGAAAACAGAGTCAGGGAGATTAGAAAACTCACAGATCCAAAAACGTGGAAACATATTGCTGGAACAAAAAATCCAGCTGACCTCCCATCAAGAGGTTGCACCACTAAACAACTTTTAGCAGTTAGATGGTGGGAGGGCCCCGACTGGCTGAAGAAAAATCAGGAAGAATGGCCTAGACAAAGGAAAATACCGGACATGGAAATAGTGAATTCAGAAAAAAGGAAATCAGTCATTTCTGCACTAAATACGCAAAGGGTAGAACATTTTTTTGAGAAATTTCATCTTACCATAAAATGTTAAGAAAAAAAACTGCTTGGATATGCAGATTTATCAACAACTGCAGAAGACCAGATTCTAAACAATCAGGAGAACTCACGGTCCCTGAAATAGAAACTGTAGAAAAGAAAATATGCAAGATAATACAAATAGAAGCATTTGGCAAAGAACTTAAAGTTAGCAACCTTTGTACCTTTTTTGACTCAGATGGCCTTATTCGGTTAAAGACCAAGATTACTAGAAGAGAGGAAGAAAAAACTTTCTCTGTCCAGAATCATAACTTACATAGGTTAGATTTAGTAATTTGCGAGTTCACGCTAGTGTGCAATTCGTTAGCCAATTTCGACAGAAATTTATGAAGTGTGTTCGCTGTGTTCGGTGTAGAAGATATAGCGCAAAGAATATAGAGACTGTTCCAGCACCTCTTCCTGAAGATCGAGTTCGAGATGCTCTGGTGTTTGAAGTGACCGGAGTCGATGTAGCCGGTCCTCTTTATTTACGAAAAGGAAAAAAAAAAAAGGCATGGATCTTGCTCTTTACTTGCGCGGTCTATCGCGCGATACATCTTGAGCTGATAGAAAGTTTATCAACAAATGCGTTCATCTTGGGATTAAGGAGATTTATTGCCAGAAGAGAGATCGTCCAAGGTATTATTTACAGCGACAATGGCACTAATTTCGTTTGAAACTGAAAATCTGTTAAGATCGATAGATTGGAAAAGAAATAGAATGTCATTCAACTAGTATGAGAATACAGTGGAAGTTTAATCCCCCAACTGCTTCATGGTGGGCGGTTGGATGGTGGGAGAGGTTGGTACAAACAGTGAAGAAGATGTTGAGAAATGTTCTCGGAAAGTCCTGTGTCTCTTACGAGGAAATGTTGACTATACTTTGTGATATCGAATCAGTGATTAACTCAAGACCCCTTACGTACCTTTCAGAAGATCCAAATGATCTTACGGCACTAACTCCTTCAATGTTTCTACAAGATGTACACGACGTCGGAGTACCAGACTTAGACTACCTGGATACCATTAATCTGACAAAAAGATACAAGTTCTTGCAGAAACTTAAGAGAACATTTTCGCAAAAGATTTCGTGATGAATATTTAGCTATCCTAGTGCAAAAACCATCTAAACGATCTACTCGGACTATCAACAAAAATGACTTGGTGTTTGTCGGCAGCGACAACAAGAAGAGAATAGATTGGCCAATAGGTCGCGTTGTAGAAACATATCCTGGGAAAGACAACGAAGTACGTGTTGTCAAAGTGAAAACTGCAACGGGTGAACTCCTAAGACCTGTGAAACGTATTTATCCTCTCGAACTTGATAGACCTAACTTGTTTAGTGACTTCACCATGAACAGAAAAAACTCTGCCGATAAGTGTGACAGTGATATGAACTATCAAACTAGATATGGACGTAAAACTGTAAAACCTGTTACATATTTTTAAATTGCTATACTAAATTTTGTTTCTTTTCAGTATTTTAGAAATTTAATTGTCCTAACAGTAGTCAATTGGAACATGTTATCTGGATATGGTATGAATGTAATGCAGAAAATGTTTAGATGTGTAATCCTTCTTTGTAAGTATTAATTTCAGAGCATTAGTTACTTTTCATATTTGTGAAAGTTGTACTTGAATTTTTGTTTAATTATTGATAAATTTTGTTTTGATTTTCCCATCTTATCGAGATAAAATCAAAAGGTGGGAGGATGTCACATTCTTGCCACTAGGTGGCGGGCATCTCTTCCTTTACTTCTGCTGTAATTAAGTTCCGAGAGTCCAGTGGGAGATTGGAACCGCTCTGAGGAGCGTAAAGACTCAGAACTAAAAATGTACTGTCTTAAAATAATTATCACCTACCTTGTAAATAGTGTATATTAGCTTTTATTTCAATAAATAATTAAAAGACAAGATGGCTTGTTAGCAGTAATAGAAACTCTTACTGAAAACGTGATTATTAGAAGCCTGGCGTCGTGAACACTGAAGATGCAGCAGGTAAGGAATTTTACATTAATTTTGTTGTAAATAGAAGAAACTGATGCAACAACCTGACATCCTGCTATTTTTGGTTATGGGACTAACTGATAACCTGCTATTTCTGATTGTTGGACTCCCTTATATGCTGCTATTTTTGGTTATGTTTTATAGGACTATGTAAAGTCATAAATATACAGATGCCACTCAAAGTCACTGGCAATTACAAAAAACATTCTTCTCAGCAATTACAAAAAATTTTATAATTTGAACAACCTTCTCCAGAATTCTTAAACATTAATTATTTTCCTTATCGAACACAGGATGGTTTCATAGCTGCAGACTCTCTCCTCATAACCGACGTCATTGCTTTATCACACAGGTTCCCATAATATTACTACAGCTTTATATTTATATACTGTACTTGATAAATGGAAATATATGAATTTTATATGCATACTACTTAGAGAAACATTCTCGAAGGGGTGTTGTACCAGATAACAATTTAGATTTATTTTATATGAAAAAATTTGAAATTTAATCTTTTGTGCGTTTTTAATACTGAAACTAATATTTAAATAGAAACAAATTTTAAAAAAATTACATTCATTTACAGAGAAAGTTTGGAGGAAGAAAAGTCTGCAACAGAAGTACCAGCAGTTGGATTTTTCAGCTTGGTAAGTTTTCAGGCTTCAGTGTTATTCTTCTATTTTACCAAAAGTAGAAAACTAAAAGTATGTCATAAATATTTTACAATGAAACTTAAAAATAATTTTTAATGTGATGTAATAAAAGATAAAACAAATGATTATTTTAAATAATTAATTTCTGAATAATAATGTATTTTGTAACGAAATTAAAATTTTGAATAATAATGATCGGCATTTGCGGAGATATGTAATGCATTTTGTTTCTATGAATCAGTTTAGGTACTCAAGTGTTGGTGATAGTGTCTTGATGGTCTTTGCTGCTGTTATTGCTGTAATTTCTGGCGCATGGTCTCCTGCAGAAACTATAATTTTTGGAAAAGTTATTGACAGATTGGTTGATTATGATACAACAAAGCAAAACCATTCTAAAGTCAATATGTAAGGAACATTTATTTGTGCCTTTCGCTTTGAAGTACTTTTAATCTTTCAAAAATGAATAATGCAATGGATTTCCGAGTGCATTTGGTGTATTATTATGTCTTCTAAAGTTACATTCTTAAAAGTTTTTCGATAGTGTTTCTCTTTCTAATTGCATTACGTAGTATAGTGTGACTGCAAATGGTGTGTTACAAAATTTTTAATCTAGTAATTGCGGAATATGACAGATTATCAAATATCATCAAATAGAGAACATGTCATTAATGATTTCCTCAATTAATATAGTAGGAATTATGGCGTTAACCTGTAGAGCAAGCATGTCAAACTCGCGGTTCGCGCGGCACATATGGCCCTTGACTTATTTTTCTGCGGCCCTTCGTTCATTCCGAGAAAATAACAACATGTAAGTCTGCTCTTGAGATGGTCTCCTTGCAAAACGTACTTTTCCAAGCGATATTGAGAAACTGATAATCTATTTACAGTGCGCTAGAAAGAAGGAGCACACAGACTTGGCATTGCTGAAGGCAGTCTTAACACGATTAATTGCCCCTACCGAAGAAGTCTTCCAAGTGGGCATGACCCAAGGAACAATTTTTGCCTCACAAGTCTGCGAAATATAAGTACAAAGCCAATGATGAACGACAAGCATCCATCTAAAAGGAAACTCAAGCACATGTACATGTCAAACATCGACCGTTCCCCAGCCTTGAGCAAGTGGAGCCAAACCTCCAAAGACAACTTTCGATATCTGACAATATAATGTCCCCACAACAAGGGTCAGACAAGACAGTTCATGCCGAGCCTGAAATTACCATCGAATAAACGACGGTTCTAGTCTTGTGAAGACAATTAATTTTTCCCCAGAAGTCGAGACTGTCTAGGTACAGACCTAGCCAGATCGCTAGGATTGCTCCCGGTCGACCCCCGAGGGGGCATTCGAGCACAGTTAGCCCAGGCAAGCCTGGTTACCAGCGGGGCCACGAGGAGACCTATTTCGGATTAGAGCAGTGAGATTCTATATATTGCGCTTCGCTGCTCCTTAGCTATTCCTCGCTTTCAGAAGAGACCAACCTTAAACAACCGGGTCTCCTCCTAAAACATTGGTCGGTTCCGGATATTCAACCCAGCCCCCCATTGAGGATAGCTTCCTCCGCCATAGTCTATAGAATTAACAGAAACACAGTGGACTCTAAAGCGAAAATTCAGGGTATCCTTGAAATTTACGAATACTCGCCTGCATGCTTCCAAAACACCAAAAATTTTGTATTCTACGTGATTTCCATTTTCGGTTAGTAAGGTGCAGCTTTTCTCACATATGAAAAGGAACAAGTCTCCAATGAGATACAGGCTAACATTCATCTGACCTCTTTTCTGAAGGCTGCTAGTGCAAGCAGCGTGTCTCCGAACATCTTAAAGTTGGTTATAGGAAAAAGGTGTCAGATATCGGGAAGGAAGCAATAGGTATCTATCTGCTATTCGGGTTTTCTTAAGTTCCTTCTTCGTTTTTAAAGAACTACATTAGATAAGGTTTACTTTTACATTAAAAAAAAATGGCCTTTTCTTTCTTTCGGCCCATACTACTGTACATCTATGACTATTTGGCCGTTTGCGATACTGATTTTGTCCATGTAGAGGTTATAATGCGCCAAACTAATGGTGAATGTATTCCATATTGTACAAGTAAACAGCGCAGTTATAAAAACCAACTAAATGGTATTTTGATGAACATATATAGAAACGCTGATTTATAAACGAATGAAAAACAAAAGCTCAGTATATAAAAATCAATTAAAATCTCATAAAAGATGAGTACAGGTATAAAATGTCTATATGTAAAAGATTTTAAATGCACCATATAATTGAATTAAATGATTTTAAAATCAATTCAAATATAATAATAAAAATCAGAGTTTCTTCAAAACTGGAGTAGGTTCAAACTGATGTTATTTGTTCCAATCAGGTGGTCAAGACTTACATAATAATAGAATCTATCAAAATAGGGACACTCCACTAAATATATTTTCTCCATAGACTTGCATCACAATTTGAGAAAAAAAGTTAAATTTCGGTTTTCAGTAAATAATTATGAGTAATTTGAGGGTGACAAATACTAAGGCGAGTTAAAAGAATCTTCTGCCGATTCCTAGTCGTCTTCCAGTACTTCATTTTAAGATTTAAGTTCCTCAATTAGTTATTCAGCTACCACCCCAGAGTTTAGTACTCATATCCACACGCAATTATTTCTAGGTTTTTATGTATTTAGATTTTCATTTATTATGTAATTGCGTGGCATTTTCGAATTTATGTGTATGTCTATATCTATGTGTTAAATTAGTTCGGTCTGTATGAATGAACATGTCGCAAATATATGCTAATATCTATGTGTATTCATTATCTATGTATTCAGTACCCAGGTAATGCTGTATTTAGTACTCATGTGCACAAGTAATTAATTCTTAGGTACTTATGTATTAAGAAAATTATTTATTATGTATTTAAGTGGCACTTAAGTATTTATGCATTTATGTGTGTATTTATGTGTTTAATTAGGTTGGTTCGTACGAAAGAACATGTCGCAAATGAATGCAAATATTTATGCATTCAGTCTCCAGGTTACGTCGTATTTAGCACTCATGTGCACACGTAATCAGTTCTCAGGTTTTTTATGTATCTAGGTTATTATTTATTATGTTTTAAGTGTATTTATGTATTTATGTATGTATTTATGTGCGTAATTAGGTCGGTCTGTAATGAATGAACATGTTGCAAAAGTATGCTAACATTTATGTATTCAGTATCCAAGTCACGTTGCATTTAGTACTCATGTGCACGCCTATTAAGTTCTCGGGTACTTATGTATTTAGGCATTTACTTATTATGTATTAAGAGGCATTTACGTATGTATGTATCTATGTGTGTATACATGCGTTTAATTGGGTCGGGTTGTATGTATGAACATGTCGAAAAAGTATGTTAATATTTATGTATTCAGTATCCAGGTAACGTTGTATATAGTACTCATATGCACACGTAATTTGTCCCCAAGTGTTTATGTATTTAGGCATTCATTTATTATGTATTAACGCGGCAATCACGTAATTATGTGTGTATTTATGTGTGTACCTATGTGTTAAATTACTTTGGTCTGTATGCAGGGGCGTAGCTAGAGGGGGCCAAGGGGGGCATCTGTCCCCGGGCGCAGAATCCAAGGGGCGCCAAACTGATGTTAGGACATTTTAAAATTAAATGTTTTCCATCCTTGGCAAGCAGTAGGGGGCGCGAAATCTTCAGTTGTCCCTGGGCGCTGAAAACCCTAGCTACGACTCTGTCTGTATGCATGACCATGTCGCAAATGTATGCTTATATCTAAGTATTCAGTTTTCAGGTAACGTCGTATTTAATACTCATATGCACACGTACTTAGTTCTCAGGTATTTAAGTATTTAGGAATCTTTTTATAATGTACTTAAGTGGTTTTTTTGTATTTATGTATCTACGCGTGTATTTATGTGCTTAATTAGGTCGGTCTTATGAATGAACATATCGCAAATGTAGCTAACACTTATGTATTCAGTATACAGGTAACGTTGTATTTAGTACTTATGTGCACACGCAATTAGTTCTCAAGTATTTATGTATTTGGGTATTTACTTGTTACGTATTAAGTGGCATCTATGTATGTATTTATGTGTTTAATTAGGTCGGTTGTATGAAAGAACACGTCGCAATGTCTGCACAATGATATCAAACGAATGTATTACTGCCCTTGTTCGGCCATGTAAACTTTTTATTGGAGTTCAATATACGCTGGGCCCGGACACTTTGGACGGGAGTCCACCCTTTTGGCATTTGGTCGGCAGGACTGCTGACGGTCCGGTCCGGGCGTTGGGACAGGGCGTCCTTTTCGAGGCTCGCGTGTGGCCCCTCAAGCCGGACTCTAGATAAGGGAGGACGTGGCGCTATACCAATACGGGTGGCTAAAACCCGCCGGGAACTGAAGAAATTCAACCAATCAGAATAAGCTACCGCCGGAGACTGTTTTTGGCGACCAATTTTTATGCCAGCAATTGAAGGGTTTGTTTTGGATTTATTTTCCGCTCATATTCCTCTTTTCGTATCTTTTGATTACGTCTTTTTCGCATCAATTTATAATAGTTTTCTAACTTTTATTGCTATAAAAGACAATGTAGTGAATACGAAAAATTCGGTGGATTATCACGTGAAATGTGTAATAAAATTTCTAGCTTGTTCCCGCAAAAAAAGGTGTACGGTGTTGTATCGCAAAAGTTTTATGCTAAATTGTACATTTCACTTTATTTTGTGGCACTGAAAATTACAGAAAGAATTTATTTTTTGATCATCAAGAAAAAAATGCACATGAAAAAGGCTTATTAATTTGGCCTGTGCAGAAGATGTGTTGCTTTTTTCTTTTTAATATTTATATATATATATATATATATATTCTTAATATATATATATATATATAAGTATTTATTAGGTACTCAAATTTAGCCAACAAAGCCACATGCAGAACCTATATATATATATGTATTAAAAGATTCCTAAATAATAATAAATAATTTGATTGAACTTTTTCTAAAATGCATTGCGTTTTTGTGTGATATTTGATTTTTAAGAAATGTAGCATGTTGAATAAATTGATAGTAAAAATCTCAAATGTACTGTATTTTTGAAAAGGTTAATATGAAATTTTATTAAATTGTTTTGCTTATCTAATAAAATCTGGAATTCTTTCCCAATTCAACACATAGCAACGCACATAAATATGTTAAAAAAGAAGGATGTGTGAAGGATTAATGCATGTAACAAATAGATTTTTAGAAAAATTGTCATTAAGCATAACATGAGGAGTGTAAAATGTGAAGATCTTTATAATGTAATATAATGCAGTTGATAATCATCTGAAAAAGAGCCCATGAATGGTAAGACAGCTGAACACTGATAGTTAGGTTTATATCCTAACTATATATTTGGACACCTTTTGCTTAGCTTATCTGGTCTGATGATCTGTATAAAATGGTAAATGAAAAACAAAGTATTTGTACCCAATATTAAGTCTGATCTGCAAACAAGATTACTGTGGCTGCGGAAACCGACATGCCAGTGAAATATATGTGTCATGTAGATATTACAAAAAATAGATCAGCTAGAGTACTCTTATCAAGCAGTATGGGGACAGGTACCATATAACCAAATATGTACACTGCTCAAAAAAAAAAAAAAAATGGGACAGTGCTATATCTCCCGTTCTACTGGGCCGATTGACAAAATTCAAACTGCGTTTTTCATGTCTCGAAAGCGCGACTTAGGATATATATTAGATTTATATATAGCACTATTCTAACATAGGTATTTTGACACAAAATTGGACTTTTTCTGAAATAACATACCAATTTTTTTCCATATTTCGATTCTACGACTCAAATTATGCCAGAATACCAAGTTTTGTAAAAATCGCACGACTAGTTTTTAAAATATTAGCTCTCAAAATTTTAGCTCCTCAATGTTAATTGAATTTGGCAAATATTTATTAATATCTCTTTTTTTATTAAACGTTTTTGATTTTTTCTCTCACATTTCGAAATTTAGGTTCATTCCAAATAAAATTTACCTATTTTTTGTGTTTTATTTTTTAAATTTCTATTTTTTAAATAATTTTTATAAATTTTTCGAAAAAAAATTTTGAATTATAACCTATAAAATTTTTACCATCATCATAAGGTAGGTGTATTTTTAAGCATATCTGCAAAAATTAGACTTTTTTTATTCAAAATTTTCTAAGATATACACGAATTTACATATTTTTCGCGTTTTGAAATTTGGCATGTTTTTTTTGAGCGATAATAGCGCCAAATGTGGTCTATGGATTTTTGTTACACTGAATTGCCACAGCTATTTTTAACCTTTAATTTCAAGTAAAATTTTACGGAGAATTAATTATATGATTTTTTCCTCTCAATAAGGCGTAATAAATATTTATTAATACTATATGAAAATCTATTTTTTAAATTATAGATGATATTATTCAAATTTTTAACAATTTTTTAAAATTTCTCTCTTTCTTCCTTTTTAAAAAAAATAAGAGTACATTTTTCTAAGAGTAAATTTTTACCTTCGGCGTTTTATCGTCTGCTACTTTACTTCGTTTAAATCCAATTGTCTAAAACTGAGAATTTTCGTTTAATGTTTATTTGAATTTTATGACATTAACTGCATAATTTATTTCTAAACAAACTGTTGCTTTTGAAGTGGCTGAAAGAGCGGCAGATACTACCATCCATATTTTTAAAGCACAGTATATTTTTATAGAAACATAAGATTTAGAATAATCATTTATATAAGTCAAATTATGATATAAACATACAACCCTCTAGAGACTGAATTAGTGGAAGTTCAATGGTTTATGTAGAAATGATCTGCAGCTACTTAATGGTTGGATAAGTCAGGCAGCTTCTGTGGACAAGTAAGAATAATTATATAAACGACCACACAACATTCTGGATTCAATTAACAACGAGGATACGATGTTTATTAAATGAATTTAAGAAGTTTTAACACATAAAAAAAACCAACTCATTTTTTATCCTAAAATGTATTTTTGTTCGCAGCGTATTTTCATTATATCCTTAAAATTCAAATTTTGAATGTAATTGTCAAGAACTGAATCCTAATCATCAGTAATATAATAAGTAATCATTACGGTTATTAATAATCCTTCTTATAAAGTAATTGCAAATATTTCAAAAAACTTTGTCTGAATGCAAATATTTTTCTATGCAAAATTTTTAATTTTATATTAATCAAGATTGCACACGATATTATTTATTTGCACTTCAATTTTTACCGTCAGCTCTAGTAGAAGTTACAAATCAATTATATTTAATTAAGGATTGGATTGGATTATTTAATTATGGCAAAGCACACGAGGGCTATAAGCCTAAATGGAAGGAAGACTTCGTGGAAGACTTCTAAGGTAAACAGGCTCGTAGACACGTTACACATGGGGAAAACCACGAAAACGCCCAAGCAGCCAGCCCGTTCGCGGGATTCGAACTTCAGACCGAACTACCGGTGCTCAGCGTCTTAACCGCTCGGCCGCTGGTGGGCTATTTAATTAAGGAATGACCATCTAAATTTAGAAACAGCGTACCGTAACAGCAATTCAAGTATTGGCGCCGTATCTTTCATGTTACTCCCGATTGGCAAGCTACATGATTTTTAATGTAGTGGTGTGTATTTAATTATGGCAAAGCAAACTAGGGCTATCTGCCTAAGGGGAGGGATGCCTTTCGTGGAGGACTTTCTAAGGGAAACTGGCTCGTATACACGTTACACATGGGGAAAACCACGAAAACACCCATGCAGCCAGCCCGTTCGCGGGATTCGAACCTCGGACCGAACTACCAGTGTTCAGCGACTTTACCGCTCGGCCGCTGGTGGGCCCCATGTTTTTTAATGAGTATTCGGGTTTTGCTAGTAACTTCATTTGGAAATCGCGCTTAAACTAGGTTAGTTGGTTATTTGAACATAGAAAGAACATGAGAGCTATTTGGTTAAGATGCTTTCATAGAGAACCTTTGTAAAGAGAACCTAGAAAACTACGAAAACCAACCATGCAGCCTGGGTTAGACTTCGCAACAAACAATTAGTATTTAACACATCTTCAAATGCTAGGCAACTGGTGAGGCTCCAATTAAATCTCCAATTTAATATTTATTTGTAAATATTTAAAATATTGTTATATACTTAGACACAAAAAGCAGAATTTAAGTTTTGTTAACTCGTTAATAAACTACCAAGCCGTAGTGCAAATGAATATTCAATTTCTTTTGCAATAATTGTATTCACTTAATATTCTTGGAATATGAGCTAAAGAAGGAACGTTCTCAGAAGATTAAAGAAGTGTTTAAATCCAGTGATATAAGGTTTGTTTTAGATGCTCAGGATCAAAACGATTCTGCAATTGCCCCAATAGTTGACTTGTAAATGGCTGTGAATTAAGCAGATGACTTTTGATCTTACGTTTTCAGTCAGACAACGTATTCCAAATGTTTTGTATTGCATGATAATGCATCTTTTCATTATTCAATAACCAGTCGGAGAACCGCTTGTGTTCCGAAAATAAGTATGTGTACTCAATCTTCCTGCATGTTTTTCAAATTTGTCTTCTTGCGATTTTTTTCTTTCCCCCAAACTAAAGTTGCCTCTCAAAGGAAAGTCTTTTGATATTGAAGAGACAAAAGGAGTATGACATCTACTTTTAGAGGCATGTCAAAAACAAATCTCTATCTATTTTTATTACACTCTGATTACTTTACTAACATACAGTGAATATATACTAAATCTTTTACTTCAGCTTAAGTAATTCGGAATTTTTGACGGAATTCTTGTCGGAACTAGGACTTAGAAGATAAGTCAAATTAAATATTTCGATAACCCAATAAATTCAAGGTCGAATTTCAAAATTTTATTTTCGAAGGAAGGGGAAATTTTTTCAGTTTTGGTCCATTATCCTAAGTATATTTGCTTCGATTCTTTTTATTTTTCCATAAAAGCGAAAAATTTACGTATGGTATACATATAACGCATAGCTTCAAATAAAAATTTAATAATATACGGAGTGGTTATAATTAAAGTTCCACATTGAAACGGTCATAAAACGAAAACTACTGGATCAAATGTTATCAAGCTTGGTAATCGTGTAAAGGAGGTCATAGGAATTTATTTTCCGGGAAAAAAAGGAAGTTCCAAACCTCACCACCAGGGGGGAAATGGCGCTGTATACAATATTGTTAAACGAAATATGGGTCGGAATCTAACTTAACCTTTTGTTACACGGGTTTAATATGTTGTATATATACCCTTAAGAAACTTTGAAGTAAGCAAATTACCATTTAAAGGCGTTAAATTCGATAAACGTTGAGTGCGCCATCCGTGTAAGTGAGAAATTCGTCCGTGAAAACCACGAATTAGCGATTAGAAAATGTGAGATCGCAAATCACTCGCACAAGTCCGTACAATCTGGAAATCATTTTCTTACAGATCGCTAATTTGTAATTTTTGAAGCCTGAATTCGGCCCTAAAACATAAAGATACTGATTCAAAACGCTTTTAATCGATTTGGGCCGAAGAAATCCCTCATGTTATCTATCTAGCACCATTGCATTCTCCTACGCATTCGAT